ACAATAGCAGAATGCGTAACGCATGTTGAAAACAACGAATTCATATGCATCCGAACAACAAAGCAAAAGGTATGCGCAAATGGGGCGAAGGGGTGCTTTCGAGCGTCCACGACGCATTCTCTATGCGTTCCTGACAAATCACTATACTGAATCAATTCTCGTCCCCATACGTCACCTCTCTCCTGCGCTCTTCCGCTAGCCAAATCCACAGGTACACATTGAAACTTTTGACTTCCGCCATCTGCTGCAAATCCTTTATTATAAATGAAGTCCTCTGGAGTTGAACAATCCCTTTTCGAAGTTTTTTTTCACACTCGACTTCCATTCAACATAGTGGCTTTTTGAATGCGTATCTGGCTCATACAATGACTTGCGGTGGCTGACCGATGTCTTCGGTGCTTTCTTTTCACCATCGAAGACGAGCACTACTTACCATAGGAATGGAAGGCTCGGTTAGCCAAGACCGGTATGGATCTGGAGCGCTATACCCGGACCGTGCGTGTCATAGTTGTGCTACTTACCATTACATCATCTTTGTCTTCTGTTCATCCTTATAACTATTGTCACGTAAAAAAGCAAAACAATGCAAATAGATACTCGTTAAACAGTAGTGCCGCCTGCATCTTACCAGGTATGAGTCAGGATACGACATCTGGTCGCTCGAACTAGACGATTACGCAGAGGAACCTCGGTTGGCCGTGCCAGAATTCTTCATCTTTAAACTATGCAAGATGTCGCTTGCCGCCCGCGGCCACGTAGTTCAGAAGGGTCGATTGCGGTGGTGCATCCTGACTCACAACTATGCATAGGGAAAAGTTTCAGTGTGCATCTCACGTCAGTTTAATACAGCTAAATTTAGTGTGCTGAACCGGAAAGTAGCTAAGTATTTTTTATGATTTCAAACTTTTTTGCAGTTTCAAAACCGTGGTGTCTGTGGATGTACCGTCCTTGCTGGTGCGCTCCAAACCACCCCTTCCAGCAAAGCCTAAAAGTGACAATGAAACGTCGCGTCTATGAGTATTCACTTACATGTCGATTGTTTATGTGTACTGTTGTTCTTTTATTCGTGATTCAGTGGCCAGCTCCCTATGTATGGCATATATGATTGAGCTGTTTCAATTGACAGTTTACAACTTTCTAACTCAACAATTTCTATGCAACATTTCAATTTTTGCTGAACTTCTAAGGTAAATTTACCGTAGTAAGTAGTCACATACAGGTGTTGATGCTTTGCGCTTTGAGAAATTTTTAAGAAAAGCCGCTGTATCTCAAAAGTCGAAATATCGAGGCACGCAATAATGTTTCTATCGATAGGTCCTTAAAGTAATTCTTAGCTATAGGGCCTTATCACTTTTGCTTCACAGTGCATGTACATTTTTTTGCAACACGCGTCCATGTACACAAGCACAGTCTTCAAACAGGATTTCTTCGTCACAATGTAACACACTGTTCCTTCTGGCGAAGCTTTCTCCGAGTTTGTGCAGAACGAGTATGGAGAATTCCATATGGTAAGGAGCTTAAACCAAAGAGTAATCGTTCTTGCCGACTCGGCAGATTTTGGCCGAGACGCGCTATCGCACACTAAAGTAAACTCATAGCGCTCGACGACCTCGGGTATACACGACTGCCCTCACTGTAAAACCGCACTTGGCCAGCAATCGGCAGAGAAAATTTCTTCTTCGCACGTTGCCTGTTCCTGGTATTATTCATCACGTGTCAGCTCTCATTCCGTTGATCATCGATTTCCTCGAGTGGGCGCCGGTGCAGGATGCGAATGCCGAAAAATCGCAGAACTGGAAAATGTAGTAGTGTGTCACTGCGTGAGCGAATGCTGGCCAAGTGCAAAAATCGGTATTGCAGTGTTAGAGGTGCTTTATACGATAATAGTGTGCTATCGTTAGCTCGCAAGATATGAAAATTAGTTTTGTGGAGGGCGGTCAGATTGCTGCGCGAATTGACATCATACACTTGAGATCACATCTTGCGGTAAACCATTCACCTTTGCCGTGGTTCATTACCGACGCGATGATATCTTTAGTGCATTTCGGTCCACACCATTGAAGTGGTTTCTTCGTTCAAATCAATCGTATTGAGAGTAATTAGCGAAAACAATATGGATTATGAACTCTTCAAATTCCGAACTAAAACATAATTTGAAACGCTAGCTCGCCTCCATGATACCTTTTCATATGTAGTCAACGATGTTCCCAAATTTGCTAAGTAACAATGGGAATGGTGACATACCTATATTCTGAGCAGTGTCCCATCATTGAAATTTGAATAGCTTTTTTGGTAGCTACGTGAAATCTGTTTCCGTGTGGCGAACTTCTTCACTCACGGTATACACTGCGTTCACTAATGGTAGAGCCACCGATGAATCTTACCAAAACTCACGTTCCAGGGCACTTCAGGGGGAGGCTCAATATGGAAATTGTGCCATATCCGGACCGTAACCTGTAGAGTGAGTAACAGCAAGTCTCCTCTCACCAGGGAAGGGTTTTAACTTCCCAGGGAACTTTGAATGGAGACCTAGGTATATCGATAGGGCTTTAAAAGTTATTAAGAACTATGGAAATTAAAACTGTAAAATGAGTCTACCAACAAAGTTGTGAGCGTTCAAAGTTTGCATGCTTAAGCATGGAGACATAGTGCCAGTTGATAAGCCCAGCTGCC